TGTTCTTGTTTTGGTTTGTATTGTCCCTCCTATGTCTCCTGCTTTGTGGGGGGTTATTTCCTGTATGTCATATTTGCAGCAGCAATATTTCTTACATACTCACAGCAGCATGTTGTGGATGTATTGGCAGTAGCCAGTCTCAGTACTTGCTCTGCCACAGCAGCAACGTAGCAGATCTATTCCGCCAAGACCAAATACATTAACATTGTCATACATTAACATTGTCATGTACATTGCCATGCCAATCCCTCCGACAGTTGTCATGACGTAAATACAGAGTTCTGGCACGAAACTCTAGATGGCGCGGTCCGATAGGTCTAACTCAATCTGACCTAATGACATCATTATCACATGGCACAGCTGATTGGTTCTCTCCTGTATTGGTAGCCAACGAGCTCGCTGCTCAACATTCAAGTATATGACTAGTGCTTGCCGTAGCAGTTGCAGCTTGCTTCAGAAACCCTCCACCTTCCCCAGCTCCACCTGTATAGATCTGCTACGAGGTGATTCATGTATGCTATATGGGGGTTATTTCATGTGTCATATTTGCAGCAGCAATATTTCTTACATGCTCACAGCAGCATGTTGTGGATGTATTGGCAGTAGCCAGTCTCGGTACTTGCTCTGCCACAGCAGCAGCAGCGTAGCAGATCTATTCCGCCAAGACCAAATACATTAACATTGTCATGTACATTACCATGCCAATCCATCTGAGAGTTGTCATGACAGAAATATATATATATATTCAATCAGGTGTAAAAATGCAAACACATAAGCATGCTGTTATTGAACTGAGGTGCTACAAAAAAATTTCTTTAGATAGTATTATGATAAGATAATTTAAGGAGCAAATTCATTTGCTATTTCTCTCTTTATGTGTCTTTGACTTTGAGTGTATGTCATATAGAATCGTATTTTATTTCACTTACTTTTTTCCCTGGCTGCCAATAAAGTTCCCTCCTCCTTCTCCTGCTCAGAAATGGTTTGTTATTGGCCTGTTGCGTTTTTGAGCATGGTGTCTATTGATCTGAGCCTTTGATTGAATTAAGGTTCCTGTGTGAAAAAAAAAATCCATCTCTATGGCTCATACTAGACAGCTGACATTTCTAGCCAAAGCGCTGGTCGCTGGGAGAAGAACTGCAGGATTCTGGACATGTCATATGATCTTAAATTACAGCAGGAGTGTGATGTGACTAAGGATGAGGTTTTGTTAAGATTTCAAAGTGTGTAAAAGTGACGAATCCAAAAGTAAAATCTGTGAAGGTAATGTTGACAACTTCACTATTTGGTCAGAAATTAAAGAAAAGACCCTTTTAGACTATGAGCGTAAACAGTGAGGGAAGGCGAGAAATAAAGGAGCAATGAAAGATAGAGATGCCAATAGATTGAGAGAGCATCTGAAAGGCAAGAAAGGGAGACAGTGGTGATCATGTGTGCTCACTGGTCTAAGCACTGGGGTAATATATGACCGGATGATGTTTTCATTGCCATTGATGGGTTCAGTAAAGGAAGTGTGATTGAAAAGAGGAAGGTATGGTGACATTTATTGGTAGTGAACTGCAAGGGTTCATACTGCTGTTTCACACAGTGATCTAATGATCTTTTTCAAGAATTCATTGGACACACATGTATGTTCACATTCCTCCGTCAACTGAATTTTTTCAAAACCCCGTTTTAACCCTGAATGCTGCACGTGTTTAAAGAAAAAATGTCTTGATATAAAAATACTTTCTTCTAAACCAGCCTAATATAAAAACTATGAGTAAGATCAATCCATGTATCATTAGTTCCCTTTCAGTCGGTCACTCTCGACGTCCAGACCGGCCTTTTTGGCGACACGGTGGAGAACTTCGCCCAGCAGTTTTCCGCTGCCCAAAAGCAGACTGAGGCCATCAGGTACATCAATGACAGTGTTGCTCCCGCGCAGCGTCCGCAGCAGCCTCCAGGAAAGCTGCGCCGTGGAGCCGGTCGCAGGGCAGCCGCTCCGCCCGTCCGCCAGCCCTGACGTGCGCAGTTTCCTGGACAGGCAGCCTGCTCACACAAAGGCTGACTACCACCTCCTCCGAGAGGCCCTCATTAAAGAATTCGCCGACCCTGAGTCAGAACAAGGACTAGTGGCTGCCCTGGAGACGAGACAAGAACGTCATGAATCTCCTCAAGCCTACTACAGCCGACTCAGACGAGCATACTTCGGAACTCGCAACGAACCGAACATGGAAGATGATCTAAACTTCAAAACTCTCTTCCTGAGAAACCTCCATCCTGGAGTAAGCCAC